TGCGGTTTTTGTGTGTGTATTGTGTATGAGTTTGTACGTATGTATGCGTATGTTTCTGTTTATGTGTGTTTATTTGTGTTTATGTGTGTATGTGTGTGTGTGTGTGTGTGTGTGTGTGTGTGTGTGTGTGTGTGTCTGTGTTTGTGAGGGTGGGTTTTTAAGTGTATGTGTTTATGTGTTTGTGTTTGTGTTTGAGAGTTCTTAGGTATTTTGAACTCATCAGGTTGAGTTATTCAAAACTTTAGGGGACGCAGAAAAAAAAAGTGAAGGAAGGTGAGAGAAGGATGGACAATGTAGGCCAACACAGTTTTTGCAGAAGGAGTGGTAGAAAAAAAAAACACGAAGCGGATGAAACGATTCTAGGTTGAAGAACACTCGTTATTTTTTGTATCGGATCGGCGTAAAAACACTTTAACGACGTTTACAGTAGTATACACCACCATTAAAAGTTCGAAGATTCCACTTGAATGAAACCGTCAAGCCTACGTTCATAACACTCCCTCTAACTCGTCATAAACAGAGAATGCCAGCGTTTCAGAGACCATTAACATTTTGTTCTGTATGTTTAATGTTGCCTCCTCTATAGTAAGCAATTTCCGTACTGAAAGGATTAGCTTTCTTTTCTTCGAACTCTCAGAAGTGTCAACAGTGACTGAGGTAGACTTGAAAGACACATTTTGGTAAATTTAGTAAATTCATCATGCCCCCTCTTGACCCAATACGCATATCAAGGGCCACCACTCTGTGAACATGACGTTTTGGGTGGCTATAATAAATCCTTCCCTCTTTAATTATTCAGGTAATTTATCGCGACAGTGGCCGAAATGGTTTTTATTCGAAATACGATAAGGCTAATTATATTACCATTTTCTGTCATTTAGAGACCAATCCGAGAGGTAAAAAAACAAATCGGGATGGGTAGGGGGGGGGGGGAGGGTTCATCCTGAGGTATGAGGGGGTTTCTGAAGAGCATGCCTCCCTGTTTTTTTTCACAATTTGATGTTTAAGAATAGGTTTGACATTTTCTTGAAAAATAATTGATTTTGTGATAGTTTTAGTGGCCATATTATGTCAATCTGCGACAGAAAATAGATAAATAAATAAACAAAAATAAACAACAAGAAAACCAAGCCATTTGACACCAAAAGCAGTGCATCTGTGTGTTGGGGTGAAAGTACAAAATTGCCCGCTGCCATTGTTCCTATAGTTAATTGTATATGAATGCTTTTAAGGAACAACGTGACTAAGCAAGGCCATCATGCGCGAAAGACGAGTTTTCGTCTAGGGACCCTTTCTTGACTATGATAATTAATAGTCTCAGCTCGTGGCAACAACAAGAAGCGCCAGTCCTTCTAACTACCTACTGTGAAGTTTCTGTAATGCTAATGATATTATGATTTCCTCTTTCCTTGTTTGTGTGTGGGCGTGTGTGCGTGTGTGTGTGTGAGTACGAGCGCGCGTGTGTGTGCCTGCGTGTGTGTGTGTGTGTGTGTGTGTGTGTGTG